CTTTTTAGCACGTAGCTATTTATTATTAGCATTGTTCTTCCGACGTCTGATTTCTTTTTAATTATAGGAAATGCGTTTTTCTGAAGTACATAAACTTTTGGGATTGATTGTATAGCCAATACATCCTTAATATGAAAGAGCATTTTGTTAGCATTGAACGCGTTCGATCGAAATACGAGAGAAAAACAGAGGGAGAGGGAGAAATGACGTGGTCGGTACTTGATCTTAAGTGAAATCTTTCGTTCGAAGTCGCTTGACCGGAGCAGAAGCAGGAGATGGACGCGGTGTCCGAGTCAGACTCGTCGGAGGGATGATAAATAGGCTCGCGTCGAGGGCGATCGAGTCCTAAATAATAGATCTAGCGTTCCCGGGAATGAGAGAATCGAGCACGGGAATAGCGGAATGAACATACATAGGAGGAGATTTGCGTTCATCGGAAGTCCACGGAAGGAGTGGCGCGTCGTTGAACCTGACGAACATTTTTATTTGAGAATTCGAAAATGTTTTTCAGTTCTGTAAGACGCGAACAGAATCGAAGAGAAATTTAACGAGCCACGTTCCTCGAAAACCTGGAACGAAATCGTTTTTCCCGGAATGCGTATTCCTGTTCTGAGACAATCGCGACGAGGGAACAAGTACTTTTACCTTGTATCGTAATAAAACCGTTCTCGGTGTCCATCGATTTTTCCATGAACGAGGTTCGGTCTGAAGCGTTATTTATTAGCGTTGGGACGATATTGTCCTAGGAATTGCGGGATTCGATTCGATTCGACTTAATTTAATTTAATAAAGGACCAGAAGCTATTCGATGGAATACTTAACGAACGATCTCCTGGAATATAGTATCGTTCAACTGGCCTTTCTCGTATTTGTTCGTTTTCTCGTTCGATCATAGATTTCTCGTTGCGCGAGGATCTCGGAAATCTGTTACTAAATTTTCGGTAAGCTCAAACCACAGCTATTTCTTTCATGTAGTATCGAGCGTTGCAACGATATATGTATACTTAAAGTTGCATGACTGGTTCCATAAAGATCCTTTAGGTATTGTGTAGGGCTATACGTAGGTGCTCGATTGGTCGGCAGAGATTCGCGTGACACTGCGATAACGACGAAATAAACGAGTGAGAGCAATGCAATGCGACTCTCTACCGACCCGACAACGCGCCACGTAACATTATGACACTTATCGTCGCGCGATTAAAGGAAATCGTTATTAATTACGTGTTCGCTCTGGTTTTCGACTAATTACGTTATCGTCGATCAAGGCCACGGTTAAGAACCGGTTCGTGGCGCTATTCTACCGACCGCTCCAAAGACTGGATCGCGATTCCCGATACACGAAAGAAAAATGACTTCGGAACGATTCCAATTTCCTTTCGTTCCTTCTCGCGCGACGAGAGTAGTTTGACAGGCTGAGGGATGGAAAATGGAAGATAGACTCTCCTACCTTAGAACCGCAGACACGCTACGAAAC